TAAGTTTCAAAACCCTCTAAGTCATCCATGAGGGATAAAATCTATTTTTCCCAAACTCCTGTTAATGTTGATATTTGAACTTCCTCCCATGAATCAACAATGTTCTTAATGGTTTCAAGAATGGCAAGTTCTTTACACGAGCTTTTCAATTTACTTTGCCCATATTCATCAGAGAAAACACTATCTATGGCAGCTATAGCCTTAAAAAGTGTATTTCTTAAAAATTAAGACTCGAAAAGTCAAAATTACTCCTTGATCTGTGTGCTGCAAAATGGATGTTGTGTTAGCAGACATGTAAACAACATTAGTCTCCTTGTACATTTCCATCAGATTCTTGGGTAACCAGGTGCACTGTCAATGAGCACAATATTTTGAATGACATCTCATTTTGGAGTAGTAAGTATCAACAATGGGTTTTAAATTTCAGTAAACTATGCTGTAAACAGATGTGCTGTCATCTAGGCTATGTCATAGAGCATAGGCACAGTAAATTTAGCATAATTCTTAAGGGTCCTAAAATTTTAAATAGCTAAATGAGCATTGGCATCAACTTAAAGTCACCAGCTCACTGCATTAGTCCCTAACAAGAGAGCCAGCCTGTCTTTTCAAGCTGTGAAGCCAAATACTGACTTCTTTCTAGCTATGAAAGTCCCTGATGGCATCTTCTTCCAATAGAAGGCTGTTTCGTACACAGCAAAAATCTGTTTAGTGTAGGTACCTTTATCAATGACCTCAGCTAGATTTTCTGGATAACCTGCTGCAACTTCTCCATCAGCAAATGTGATTTTTCCTTGCATTTTCATGTTGTGGAGACGGCTTCCTGACTTAAGCCGCCTGAAACAACTTCTGCTAGCTTCCAACTTCTCTTCTTCTGTTTCCTCACTTCTCACACCTTCATAGAATTAAAAAGTGTTTGGGCCTTGTTCTGGGTTAGGCTTTGATTAACAGAACATTGTGGCTGATTTGATTTACTATCCAGCCCACAAGAACTTTCCCTGTATCAGCAATAAGGCTATCTTGCTTTGTTATCACTGATAATGTTCTCTGAAGTAGCACTTTTAATTTCGCTATGGCCCCCCATCCAGGAGGTCTGAAAACAGAGTGGTTGTCTCTGGACTGCCTCCAAGTGGAAGCTGGCAGGATTTAAAGGATCACATGCGTGAAGCAGGTGATATATGTTATGCTGATGTTTACCGAGATGGCACTGGTGTCATGGAGTTTGTATGGAAAGAACATATGACCTATGTAGTTCGAAAACTGGATTAACGCTAAGTTTAGATCCCAGGAGGGAGAAACTGCCTACATCTGGGTTAAAGCTGATGGGCCCAGAAGTCCAAGTTATGGAAGATCTCGATCTCGAAGCCATAGTCACAGCAGAAGGCGTAGCAGCAGCAACAACAGGAGTCGCAGTTACTCCTCAAGGAGAAGCAGAGCATCACCAGGCTGTTCTCCCCGTCACAGCCGATCTCCCTCTCGTACATAAGATGATTGGTGACATCAAGAACTTTTCCTTTGCATTCCCAACTTGGCTAACCCCAACCAGCCAAAGTACTTCAGGAATTCTGCTTAACTAGTTCACTATTCTCTTTAATATTTATAGGAAGTCTTTCTGAAAGACGCTACCTTCAAGAAACCCACAATCAACCCAAGTGATAGTTTCTCAGACGCTGAGGATCTGTCTACAGCTGGGGCCAGCTAATGTTTTCTTAAAAGCCCAGGCAACAAATATTTCAGGCTCTGCACACTACAGTACTCCATAGGTGAAAGCAGCCATAGATGATATATAAACAAGTGCATCTTCCTGTGTTAAAATAGAACTTTATTTTCAAAACTAGGTTGGCAGGCCAGTTTTGGCCCATGAGTCCTAGGTTACCAACTTCTGGTTTAGCCTTTCATTAGAATTAAAAATACTTTTTATTTTTGAATGTCAGAAACTATCATGAAATGTTATTCATGCAATGAGAGGGGATTTTTGACAATTATACTTTGTTAGAGAAAACGTATATGGCCCCAAAACACTGCATCAACTTGGGCTCTACAAATTCTGAATATGTGATTAGATACCTAGGACTAGATTGAGGTTGACCAAGGTTTTTCCACACTACGTAATAACAGGGAACAAGAAGACTGCTGTGTAAATGCTCAAACAACTTAAGAAAATAAACTCAAAGTACCACAGGAAATTCTAGGTGTACAAAGATTATTAACAAAAAATGAATGTATTGTTTATTAATGTATATCAGAATGAACCTTTACTTCAAAATCGTTTATTAACTTTACTATATGAGTAAAATCAACAAAATATTTGGAAATATGTATAAATTTCTACTTTTCTGTAATTCAGATCACCTAGCTTTCAAATTAGTAAGGTGCTACTGAAACATGAGATATTCATTTATTCATTCATTTAAAAATATTTACTGAATGTTTATTAGCAATTAGGCACTGCTTGGAGCTGGAGAGGTACAAATACAACACAGTCCTGCCATTACGGAATTCTCAGTCTGGAAAAGAAATCTCCTCAGAAAACAACAATTAATGTTGGCAAAACATTACTGTCAGATTAATTTAATATGAAAATTAATTATCAGGTTTTAAGAAATGCTGTAAATAGCAGGCATTAGATATCAAAGTATTAATATCATTTTCACATATACCTTTTTCTCATTATTTGATTATATAGTTAAAAATGTGATACCATTGATTTCCAGGCATGTAATAAAACAAAACAAAATGATGTATGCTATAGTTAAGGTCAAGTTCCTAAAGATATTTCATGGAAGCCTGAAGGTACAGAAGAATATGTAGAGCAGAATTCTCTTTATATGTTTAAAGATACACAGAATTTTTCTGAAAGAATGTTAACAGTGGGTCTGAGGATAGGGCTGGAAGTTATCATAAGGATGGAAACTTTTACTTTAAAATTTTCTTTTAAATGAAGAAGTATTACTTTAAAAATATTTTTTCTTTTTTAAGAGATGGGGGTCTCATTATGTTGCTCAGGCTAAAGTTCAGTGGCACAATTACAGACCACTGCAGCCTCGAACTCCTGAACTCAAAGAATCTTCCCAACTCAGTTTCCCAGGTAGTTAGGACTTCAGGCACACATGACCAGACCTGGCTGATTTGTTTTTTATTTTTTGGAGAGATGGGATCTTACTTATGTTACCCAGGCTGGTCCCGAACTCCTGGCCTCAAGTGATTCCCCCAATTTGGCTTCCCAAAGTGCTGGGATTACAGGTATGGGCACTGTGCCAGGCCTTAAAATATTTTTTTTTCAGTGGTTAACATCTACAAAGACAAAAAAATAGTTCTCATTATAAGGTACACAAACAGAGAATTAGGGAGTTATATTTAAATTTATCTTTTTTCAGTTTACAACCCAGGAATGCTTTTCCCTATCCTGATCTGATCCACAATAATTAACTTTTATTTTTTTGCAGGTGGAAAAGTTGAAGGAGGAAGAACACAGAAAGCCAAACAATGTGTATGAACATGTTTGTGAGAAAGAGGCAGGGATTACCATGAGTGAGCAGGCTCTGTGGGCGCCCTCATACCACATGCTGCAGGCAACAACAGCTAGGATCTTCCTTTTCCTTTCCCCCTTACCACTGGCACCCAGAACCACAAAATTCATTAAAGAATTCTTTCTCACTGTTGGTGAACTTGTTTTCCTTTGAGGCAACATGATGACAGGGTAGGTTCTTATGCTTTAACAGCCCATCATGAGAATTTTTAACTTAAGCAATTATAAAATAAAAATGTACTCACGCTAAAGATACCTTTATAAGCCTGTCACTTTAATCTTTCTTCATGGCTTGTTGGTTTAATTAGGTAGCTATATAGTCACATAAAATTTCACTGAAAAATTATAGGCATTACATTACTAGTTGTTGGTCATGAAACAACTTATAACATTGGAATTCTCATTTATTCTCAGACTAAAAATCTAAATGATAATGAAATTTAATAAAACTTCTTGGAAAGTTTACAGATAATTTTTAGTTTGTAAAACATGTGCATGCTTTGTAAAGCTTTCTCATGCTTCAGTAAATCAGAAGTAATGATGGGGATACACATTTTCTTACTTAAAACTTAATACTGGGAACAAGAGAACTAGCACATTGCTGTAGTCTCATCAACAACTCTGAAAAGGCAACAAGCCAATGCAAACAAATATGGTTTTCCAAAAATACCTGATAATACTTCTAAATATAAGAGCTGACTTCAGGGAAGTGGGGAATAAGGAGAGATTTCTTAATGGATATAAAATTACAGCTAGATAGACACATTAAATTCTAGTATTCCATAGAGTGCTCTCTAGTTTATCATAATATTAAGTATTTTTCAATTAGCTAGAAAAGACAATTTTAAATGTTCCTAACACAAGCATACAATAAATGTCTGAGGTGACAGACATGCTAATTACTCTGATTTGATCACTATACATTGTTTGTTTCAAAACATTACCATGTACTCCATAAAAATATGTGTCAATTTTCAAAAATTTTGTTTAAAAAACTGATTTAAAATTTATTTTAAAAAGTATAAGTAATCCAGAAATTAAAATTATGATTTTAAATTAAAATTAAAATCAAAGTAAAAAAATAATATAGATTCTACAAATTGAGTCTATCTGAATAGGAATAACTTCTAAGAACAATCATTAGCTTACTACTTATTCCTGTGAATTCATACAGAAGCTTCCTAATACTCAGGTTGAAAACATGCTTGATAAGACCTGCTAATGAAAATGGTAAAACTGGAACACTGTTCAGTTTTGAATGTTAAATTTAAAACCCCACAAACTCAAAATAAAATTACAAAAAACTAAGGCTGGATATACATTTCTTCATTTGCCATTCTGACATTCATAATAATTAGATACAGATAGGAAATTTTTCAGTCTCTATAGCTCATGAACCACATATAAATGTAACTTCTTCTTGTTGTTGTTGTTAAAGTCTAAAATTCCCTTTTCAGTTAATATATTTACTAACCTCTCCTGGGACTCTCATGATTGAAGAGAATGCCATTCACTGCAAAGAGATTATACGCCTCACGGAAATTCACCACAATCCAGTAGGCATAGAGTTTTGCTGCCCCTGTTGGAATAATTTTTTTAAAGTAATGAAGTTTATTATAAAAGACAGTGATTTTCACCCATCTGAAACAGTAACAATTTGCCAAAATCATAATTTGTAATGTATCAAAATACAAAAAAGTATCAAAAGCCAAAGACAAAAGTTCTTATGCTAGTTAATCATGTTCACCAGAAAATACTTTAAGAATTTCCTTACTTTTGTAATACGCACAGTGCACTATTTGACATTCTAATTGATTGAATCTTTCTTAGGTCTTATTCTTTCTCTCTCTCTCTCCTTTTTTAACTTTTGAGGAATTAGAGTGGAATAAATTGGAGATCTTAACATTGCAAATGCTTTGAAATTTTATCACTAAAGTCTTTCATTAATATTTTCTTTATAAATATATTAGACATAATAGTCTTTTTTTTTTTTTTTTAAAAAAAAAAAGCTTTTGTATTCAAGGAAACTTTCATGGAAAATAAAAAAACAGGAAACCTTATCACTTCAGTACAATCTCACAATAGTTAAGAAAAAGAATCATATAGGGTCTGATTTCCATTTAAAGTGATCTGTATGGAAGGGTTGAATGAACATGGGTTGGTGAAGTGAGATGGTAATTTCGACCTGAAGGCAATGGCAGCAAGTACTTGTAGTTAGCAACGTATAAAGGTATGCTTCTCAACAAGTTCAGTCACTTTAGTCTACCTTAATGTTAACCTCACACCCAAATGACTTCAGCCATGAGACATGAACAGAATGAAAGAAGAAACACACACCCCCTACACCCAGAGATAATGCCATACACATGCTGAAGTGTGCACAAGCATTCTCACCATAGGGTGACCGGGGATAGAAAGGGGTGGTCTCCTTCTGGGGTATTTCCTGCACTTTCCCATAAAGTTCACTTGTTGAAGCTTGGTAAAACTTCACAGAGTTGATAAGGCCGCAAGTCTTAACTGCATCCAGAAGTCGTAGAGTGCCAACTCCATCAACGTCAGCAGTGTACTCAGCGAGGTCAAAGGAAATCTGGAAAAAGGAGACAGAGACAGAGCTGCATTAATAGCTTCACAGCACAAAGGTGTCAGCAGGGACAAAGACTACAATTCACACGGTGTGAAATTTTGGTGAAAAAATGTTATTTTCTAAGACCACAATAAGAATGTGGATGTCATCTACTTACAATATCAAATGGCTAAAAATATCTTAATTCCTATTAATTACCTATGGTAATGTGAAGAACACTTGAACCGCTGTCCTACTACTCCTAATTCCAGGCTAGAGTCTCTAAGGCAGGTTTATTATAGGGTAAACCCTATTCCTCAAAATTATCTGGGGCGTTCCTTAAAAATTCAGTTTGAACCAATCTCTTTGGGGTGGGGACCTAGGAAATTTACATTTTTATTTTTTATTGTATTTATTTTTATGATTATTACACTTTAAGTTCTGGGGTACATGTGCAGAACACACAGGTTTGTTACACAGGTATACACGTGCCATGGTGGTTTGCTGTACCCATCAACCTGTCATCTACATTAGGTATTTCTTCTAATGCTATCCTAGTCCCCTACCCCCGACAGGCCCCAGTGTGTGATGTTCCCCTCCCTATGTCAATGTGTTCTCACTGTGCAACTCCCACTTATGAGTGAGAACATGGGTGTTTGGTTTTCTGTTCTTGTGTTTGCTGAGAATGATGGCTTCTAACTTCATCCACGTCCTGGCAAAAAACATGAACTCATCCTTTTTATGGCTGCATAGTATTACACGGTGTATATGTGTCACATTTTCTTTTCTTTATCCAGTCTATCATCAATGGGTATTTGGGCTGGTTCCAAGTCTTTGCTATTGTGAGCAGCACCGCAATAAACATACGGGTGCATGTGTCTTTATAAAAGAATAATGTATAATCCTTTGGGTACATACCCAGTAATGGGACTGCTGGGTCAAATGGTATTTCTATTTCTAGATCCTTGAGGAATTGCCACACTGTCTTCCCCAATGATTGAAATTTATATTTTAATGAGCCCCAATTGATTTTTATGTACAGAGAAGTTTCACAACATGTGCTTAAGAACACAGCTGAATTTTAAAAGGGTTGTTTTATTTTCTATTTTAAAGGTATAATAATGACTTTATAATCTATTACATGAATGTATAATTTTTTTCTAGTATGAGACAGAGGATACTTAAAGACACTAATGTATAAGCTAACTTCTAAGAGAATGTTGAAGAATAATTCAATATTTTGCAGTTCTTTGGAGCACTTTTTAAAAACAAATGTGACTAATATACTTTCTTAAATTGTTCTACTTACACATAATGAACAAAATAGCCTAATATTAAATCCCCTACAATAAAGCTCAAAATCTTTGTCACTGGTGTATGCACAGGCTAATATAGCTGGGCAAAGTGCAAACAGGCTTCTCCTGCTGTCTCGTGAATCCTCACCTGGAAAAAACCCTTTGAGGGATAAAGTCACTGGCCTTCGTTACTGCTGGGTCCTGCATGTATGCTCTGGAACAGAAGCTGTCGCCTGGCACATGCAAATGGTATTCAGGAAGCTGCTCACCAGGGACCCTATTTAGACCACTAGATTCACATCATTTAGGCCTGTGAGTAAAGGTCATGTGACCACCAGGAACTCAAAAGAAAAAATGTATGTTGCATCCACAACCTTTCAAAGCCAAGAAGGCAAATTTAGAACCCTGTTATTATTTATATTCTTTTCTCATAACAGTTTGTTAAGATATAATTTATACCCATAAAATTCACCCTTTTAAAAGTTTACAGTTCAGTGGTTTTTAGCATATTCATAGCAGTATGTGCAAATATCAACATCATCTAAGCACAGTGTATTTTCATCACCCCAAAAAGAAACTCAATACCTAGTACTCAGTACCTCAGTACCTAGTATCAGCAGCCACTCCCTGGTCCCCAACTCCAACTCTGACCCCAACAGCTCTGTCACACTATGTATTCACCTACTGTGGATATTTCATACAAATAGAATCATATAATAGATGGTTTTTAGTGACTGAATTCTTTCATTTACCATGTTTTTCACTTTGGTTGGTTATATACCCAGGAATGTAGTCACTGGGTCATACAGTAACACTATATTTAACATTTTGAAGAACTACCAGTTTGTTTTCCAAAATGGCTGTATCATTTCACATTCTTACCTTCAATGAATAAGAGTTCCAATGTCTCCACATCCTACTTAGACTTGTTGTGGCCTTTTTTTTATCATATCCATCCTAGTGGTATGAAGTGGTAGCTCATTGTGGTTTTAATTTTCTTTTTCCTAATAAATAATATTCAGCACCTTTTCATATGCTTATTGGCCATTTGTATCTTATCTTTGTAGAAATGTGTATTTGAAGCCTTTAGCCATTTTTAAATTGGGTCATTTGTTGAGTTGTAAAAGGTATATATATATACACACACACACACACACATACATATACATATGTATATATATTCTGAATTCAAGTCCCTTATCAAATATATGACTTGCAATCTTTCCTCCCATTATGATGGTTGGTTGCCTTTTTATTTCTCTTTTTTAAAGACAGGATTTCACTATGTTGCCCAAGCTGGAGTGCAGTGGCTATTCACAGGCATAATCATAGCAAACTATAGCCTAAAACCCTGCTCAAGCGATCCTCCTACCTCGGCCTCTTGCTTAATAGCTGGAAATACAGGCATGTGCTACAGAGCTGGGCTAAGGTCTTTTCACTTTCTTACTGGTATCTTATGGAGCACAGAAGTCCCATTTATCTACTTTTTCTTTTGTTGCATGTGCTTTCAATGTTATATCTAAGAACACTTAACCCAAGATCATGAAGATTTACTCCTCATGTTTCATTCCAAGAGTTTTATAGTTTTGTCTCATGCATTTAATTTTATGATCCATTTGAGTTAAATTTTGTGTTTGGTTAGGGGTCCAAACTTCATTTTTTGCAAATGGCTACCTAGTTGTCTCAGCACCATTTGTTGAAAAGATCAGTTTTTCTCTGTTGAATGGTCTTTGCACTGAGTCATTCTGTTTTTAGGAAAAACCACAGCCTTGTGTTGAGGAAATAGTGCATTTAGAAGAACTTGGGAGGGAGTTTCAGGGTTTTGGGACCACTGGTAGTGGCCATTGAGCAGATCACTCAACCACGTCTGCAGGCTACAGTTTCCTCACCACAACAGTGCTACGATTATAATTTATGTGGCACTTTACAATTCAAAAGTGCTTTTGTTTGAACTTTATAACAATCCTAGGAGAAATAGAAACTAGGTCCTGAGATTCTGTGTGCCAAAAGCCACACTGCCTAGGAGCAGCAGAACCAGGACTCCAAGGGAGTCCCTGGATGATGCTCACCGCAAAAGCAGGATTCAGCCATTCCCTCCGTGAGGGTCTCATAAAAACCGGAAGCTCTGAGGAGAAACACACACACGCACACACACAGACAAACAATTGCCTACTCTTTCTAGAGATTTGTGGATTGTAGATTAAGACACCTTAAACTAGATGATCCTGAAGATCTTCTCTGACACCAAATGTCTGTACTCAAAATATTTTTAGGTATAAGTTCCCATCCCATGGTATTTGCAGTCTTTTTCAAGGGACCAGTCAAATTTGAACAACAATGAGAATGTTATGAGTTTTTTTTTCTCTTTCCTTGACTAGTTTTTCATTTATATACATGCTGCCTAATCAGCTCCAAGAAGGAATAGCTAGTACTTTTTAAATACTCAGTATCAGACAAACACATCATTCTGAGCATTTTGCGAGTATATACTATTTAATCCTAAGAACAGGTAAGTATTTGTAACGACACAAAGAAGCTACAGCAAGTGATGGCACCACCTATTATATTCATGGTGAATGTTCCATACAGTGAATATATTATATATGGATATGTTGCATTCACAGTGAACCAAACGTCCTCACATAAGCACCTTAACCATTAGAATATAGAATAAGGAAACTGTACAACCTAAAAGCTTTCACTTATGCTAGGGAATCCAATTTAGATAACCAATACATTATTATTCGGAGCACATAACTCATGGAAAATAATTAAACATTGTTAGACTAAAGATAGTAAATTAGATAGGGGAGCATGGGGGGAAGGATGGTTGCATGTTTGCAAATTTTTTGGTAACTCCAGAGAGAATTAAGCACATGTGTTGGATATTCAATTTGCTACAGGATAAGACTGGCTAATAAAATGATTACAAAGTGTTTTATAATATAAAGTAACAAATTAAGTGGTTTCCTTAGAAAAGAAAATCTGAACAGTATGTTGTAACTAATCAACTCCTAAAGGTTAGAAGTGTTGGCTAGGCACAGTGGCTCACACCTGTAGTCCCAACACTTTGGGAGGCTGAGCGCAAAGGATCACTTGAGCCCCAGAGACCAAGACCAGCCTGGGCAACATAGCAAGGCCCTGTGTCTCCCCCCCCAAAAAAAAATTAAAAGTAAAAAAAATTGGCTGGCCATGGCGGCACACACCAGTGGTCCCAGCTACTCAAGAGACTGAAGCAGAAGGATTACTTGAATGCAGGACATTGAGGCTGCAGTCAGCCATGATCATGACACTGCACTCCAGCCTGGGCAACAGAGCTAGACTCTGTCTCAAAACAAAACGGAGGTTTTAAAAAAAAGATTATTTTTAAGTAAAACTAAAGGTTAGAAGTGTGATTCTGAAACACACAAAAACATGGAAGGTCCAGAGAGCTACAGCCCACGGGCCTAATCTGACCTACCACCTGCTTTTGTAATTAAGTTTTATGGGGCATAGCCCTATAAACACTCATTTGTTTACATGTTTTCTATGCTTGTTTCCACACTATGACAGCAGAGCTGAATAGCTGCAACACAGGCATTTCCCATGAAGCCGAAAATATTTACTATCTGGACCTTTACAGAAGAAGCTTCCAAACCCCTGAAACTAACCACAGTTACAACTGGGAGCTAAAATGAGTAGGGTTTTGATTGTTGTAGTTTTTTTTTTTTTTTTTTTTTTAATCATTAT